GGGCAATGGGTACGCAAGAACTCCTATACCAATTTTTGCTATTTCTATGTGAATCTAAAATTTTGAAATCTATTTCAAAATAAAGTTTACAGGGAAAAAAATTGAGCAAAAATATACCAGGAAAATGCAAACAACAATACATACAACAGGGGTGACACTATTAATGTCAGACAAGATTAAGAATCAAGGCTGAAAGCATTAAATTGGACAGAGAAGGAAGTTTAACAAAGGCAGAATCTTCACTGAAAATCTAGCAGGCCACACTAGGTACCAACACAACATCCAAACTGATGAGAGCAAAACCTACGGTGAGCAATTTAGAAAAAGCATACCGAAAATTCATTAGGAGACTAACTTACCACATGTAAGGACATAAAACCTCAAAGTGATTCCAAAAAGTAGATAGAACACAGATGACTTCTCTAATCACTATGCAGTAAAACTAAAAATGAGTATCAGGACTGGGGGAAACTGTCTCGCATACCAAAATTTAAACACTCTTGTGGTCCAAGAGAAAAATCAGCACACACCTATCAGAATCTATGTAATACTACAAAAATAAAGAGCCCAAAGAAAAACATAGCTTTCTATATTTATTGACCTTCACTCTTTTTTTGGTGATTTAACTCAAAAAGCTAAAAGATAACCATAAGAGGAAATATAAAATGCAAATTTATTTTGAAACTTTTTGGCGGGGTTCATTTTGGGAAATTGAAGGAGGGAACCGGTTTTAAAGATTTCAAATACTTTGGTGGATTTACAGAAATTAATTTGAAGACAAATCGGAATATTTATGCAGAGACATAAAAATGACCAATCCTAATCCCAGCAGAGATTTAAAACAAATCACGTGGTCAAAGACACAGTACGGCTATCAGGCATTAACACCATCCTTGCCCACCAACCCACAAAGTACCAGATGAATCTTAGCTAAAATTTAAGGAACTCCTTCTATTTGCATTTTCTGGAAACTGGGAAAAAAAGTTCTAAACTATTTTTGTAAGGCCAGCCCAATTTTAAAACTCAAGCATGACTCACAGAAAATCTAACAAGAAACCACAGACCAGATCACTTACAGGCACTGCTACAAAAGGCCTGGACACGGCGAACCAAACGCACACGTTAGGAGAATGATCGTTAACATGCAGAGATGGCTCAGTATTTGGAAGCCTATTAATTTCACATTCCTTATTAACTGAGGAAGAAAATCATGGGTGCTAAAAAACCCCAAAATGCTTTTTACAAAATTCAATGTCTCCTGATAGAAAGTCTTCATTACAGAAATACAAATCAATGCTCCCTTTACGTGAAAAAATAGACATCTGAGAAACATCTCCAGACAAATGTCAGAATCGTGCTTAAGGACAAAAGACTAGATGCATTTCCATGAAAGGAATGAAAAGAATGTACTGCTACTCTTTTTAATTTTTATTCTACTTAATATTTTCTTAACTTTTCTTCTTCTTTTTTTTTTTTTCCCCTAAATGTAAGAACGTGTTCTGTAATATGTACCACTACTCTTAATGTTCTGGAAGTATTTGCTGATACAATTAATTAATAAGTTAATTGCATTAACTTATTAATATAATGCAATACAATCAATTAATAAGAAAAAATGATACAGAAATTAGAAGACTAGGGAATTTACCTTTATTTCCAGGCATGCAATCATAATGGCCACAGACCCCATGAGAATCTACAAACTACCCAAAACAAAACCGTAACCCTCCTGGCAGCCGAAAGCAGAGGCAGCAGTGAATGGTATTATTCAAGGCACTGACCGACCTTTTATCAGTGAGGTATTTAATTGCATTTTTATATTAAAAAAAATTCCAAAGCAGAGTGACAATGGGGCCTTGTTCTTTGGATTTATTGTAGAGATATGTTCCTGAAAAGCCATTAAAAACTGGCTTTTTATCAGTCATGACCGAGTCCCTGTTTGTGCCGTCTGCAACTGGCTTTTTATCAGTCATGACTGAGTCCCTGTTTGTGCCGTCTGCAACTGGCTTTTTATCAGTCATGAC